AAATTTATAGAAATTATAATTCAATAACATTTTTAATTGTACAAAATCATTTAATAATTATTTGCCCATTTTTATTATTACAAAGTGAAATATGAGTTTTGCAATTATGACATACGTTTACGATACATTTTTTGTAGCAGCATTTTTTATGTTTTTTATATCACATTTTAAATTATTAAATTTACAGTCTATTTAAATGCATACAAAATATGCAGTGATAATCATATCAATTATAGCATTATTATTTCTACAAAGTTGAGTGTAAAAGAGATAAATAACATATAATAACATATGATTATATGTTGTATTATATTGCTAACATTTAAATAACTAAATTTTTGCAGCATACTATTACATTTAGTTGAAGAATTTGTTATAATATCTCTTTAATATTTCTTTAGTAACAATTAAGGGTTAGTAACAATTACTTTATACTATAATTAAAACATGATTTCGATATTTTATATTTTGTCAACGTCAAGTTTTTTAATATATATATGTTTAATTTTTCATAATAACGTTAATTGTGTAATTTTCAGACTCATCTAATTAATTTTCATTGTCCACAGTTATCTACAGCTGGCTACACATTCACTTGTAATAATTACTTGCACTGGGAAATTTCCCATAACGTAACAATACGAAAATGACAGGATTATAATTATGTCAAGGGCAATTTATATAACTATGTAATTTGCTTATTAATTGTAAGATCATTAGAAAATAAGAAGTTACGATTAAAGAAACGTTTCGTTGATTTACGATCAGACGGCATATTGTATGCATTTGATAATTAACGAACGTGCTCTGCTTTCATTCGAGTGGATTCGATTGCGGTAAAGAAACGAGTGTCAAGTTGCAGTTGAACGAACAGAAAGCGCACAGGAAGAGGATGGGCATGGCTTCAATTGACCGGGCCATCAGACAAGTCTTTACTCACTTTACTGCAAACTGTTGCAATGAGCGCGTTATGCGCCGTTGCATTGGCTTAGCACATTTACACGTTGTGAAAAACCGGCGAAGCACACCGCGGATCTCGACAGCTTCAATTATGGAAATTTTCATCACGGCTTGACCGATAATGCAATCTGCCTGATGTTCTTTCATATGTTATTACAAATCTATTGCCGAATTTTATGATTTTATATTCATATGTAATATTTCATGTATATTCTCCGCGCACTTTAGTCCCGTGTATGTACATACATAATAAATAAAAATTTAAATAGATTATCTATTTATTCTAGACGATCTACTCTATGGAACAAATTTTAGAATTTCGGATAGCTTGTAACGACAACTGGTACGGTCAGTTTATTGAATATTCAGATGTGTGTAGAAGCATCTTCACTTGCACTTTCACGTGGAAAGTTTTAGAAGCTCACTTTCTCGTCTATCGTCGACAGCTGTTCGCTGTATTATAGTTAACTGCAATTTCTCTTTCACCCGTATTCGGCGAGTAATGTGATGGACTGGTTCAATTTCCAGACAACACAAGCAAAATATATCAATATAATTCCGTAGATTGAAGTATCAAAAAAATCTTAAGGAATTTTCTAGACGTTCCTGAGACTTATTTGTGTTGCGTGGATTTTTAATCGTTTTTATTGTAAGAATTTTTTTTAATGAGCTTTTCGTCAAATTTTTTGTTATAAGAAACAGGCATAATTATGAGTATCAGTTTCGGATTCGTCATACACGGAGAATGCGCTCGAGAAATCGTTGTGCGTTTTTTTTTCCTTCTTTATCATACACGGTACTTCTCCACGGATTATTTCATACGGTCTGCTTTCACCTTTCCACACTGGAACCGGACTACAAGTGAATGCGACGAATAACGTTGAAGAAAATATAAGATAAAATTCTAATTCTAGTTCCAAAGCAACAACTACTATCGCGAGAATTCTGCACTGTAATTTAAATACTGGACGGATTTTGCTTGGATATCGTTACATTGCGAAACTTTTCCGGTGCATCTCAATTTTTTTATTGCCTTATTTTTTATGACTCATGTTACGATAATGTGTTCCGCATGATAATTCGATAATTCTTACGCAGCAGCGTTACACAAGCTCGATTTCCAATTAGTTACGCATAATAAAAACGTTCGACAAGTTCCTAAGTTCCTTCAAAAAGTTTAGCTGCAATTCTCTTAAATGTGCTATAAACACATCTGCAAAATGACAATGAAAATTGTATTGTAATTGAAAAAATTAATCCAGCCACAAACGGCGATTATAATATAAAATAAATTTTAGGCAAATCACAACTAATTCCATTTTCTAAAAATTAAATTAATTATCTAAATTGATATTAGAATTACTTAACAGGAATTTATTTATTATATTTTATTCCTCTCATTGTCCTCTCTTCTTTATTTTTTTATTGCACAGATTTTTTATTATTTTGACAATAAAAATAGTGAAATAAATACGCGTGCAACAGTACTGGTATAAAAAACAACGTATAAACTTTCTCCAATTCGAGTACATCTCTGATTATTATCAAGCGTTGATCGTCATTCCATGCTCTCCGGAGCCGTGCCCAGCCCGCAATCGGCCGTTGTCCCGCAATCTCGACATACAGTATCGCCCCAATTGAGTTCCGGCTTCGCAACAATTACATCATTCGCGCATCCGGCACAGAATCATAGTTTGTCAGAGTTTTCTTTCGCGCGAATTTGCAATGTGTTATTTTCTCTCTCGATCACAGCGCAATAATAATTATTCATAAATGCCTATATTTTTTCAACAGTCATTAAATATATAAAGTTTACTCAATCAAAATTATGTGGACAAACTATTTGTTTACAGAGAATATCGCGAAATTACCAAATGTTCCGTTTAATATGCACTTCGCGATAGATCTGAGCGTTGGCAGAATAGATTCAATTATTTAACGTAGTTTCTTAATTTCAATAATATTGAGTATCATTATAATTTAAAAGTGTGAAACATTATTGCAGAGTATTGAAAACCACAATGAGATTCGTAATTATTATTGCTGTACGTCATTTTCTCCTTCCCGTAGCAATTTCAAACGACGTAAACACGTTACATGTACAAGGTGTTTCATAATGTTCGTACAAAGGTGGAGCGCGGTAAACTGAACAGAAAAATCCTTGATTGTTTTGCAATTGTCGCAATATTAATTAAAAAGGATTGACGAATAACAGCGCGTTGCGCGCGGGCTAAGCGATCTGGGTGGGTCAGCGGCGTATTGCACGGCTAAAACAACAGCGTGTGGCTATCAGCGAGCGGGCAAATATGGCGCGTGAGGTTGGATCTCTGCTGTTATTTTTCGTTGCCACGCGACACGCTGACCCACCTAGATCAGGGCTCGGAATTATTTCATCTTTTTCGGCCGATTCTCGCGGTATACGCCTCCTTTCCTCTCCTTACCGCGCGCGCGGCAGCCGCTAGGGCCAGTGCCGACGAGCGTTAGGAGCGGCGCTATCCGATAAACGTTGGGTTCTTCTCCCTTGATCATTAAAAGTTAAAAAAATTTATTAAAAATATTTTTCTCATTTTTAAATTTATTGTGTAAAAATATTTCAATAGATTTCCACGTTACCTATGCGGCACTATTGCTATTGAAGAAAACAATATTTTTAATGAATTTTTTTAACATTAATCGGATAGCGTCGCTCCTAACGCTTGGCGGCGCTTGGCCCTAGCGGCTGTCGTGCGCGCGGTAAGGAGAGGAAAGAAGGCGTATACCACGAGAATCGGCCGAAAAGATAAAATAATTCCGAGCCCTGACCTAGATCACCGCGCGCAACGCGCTGCCATTCGTCAATCCTTAAGAGTGTTGCTCGCGAATGAATTCTATTGCAAGCATCGATTGGTTGATTAGTTTTAGCGACTTTTGCCGTACTGGCTTATCTTCAAGGCTTATCGTCGACTGCACTTGCTCATTTTCAACGCCTATAGTTTGCTAAATTTAAACTTGCTGCATGAATTTGTTCTAAATTGCACTCCTAATTCATTTTACGAGTATAATTTGAAACAGAATTTTATGTAAATTATAAATGGAAGACTATAGACAGTTATTGAAAAAGATATTGGCTGCAACGCGTATATTGTTGCAACGATATTATGATGATCCAAATCCGGGCAGATAATCTGTTAAATATATCAGTAAATTCGACCTTAATATTAAAAAAATTCGTTTTATATACATTTTTATATTTTTTAATAATTTCAAGAACTTCTTTTCTTATCTCATTATGATTATATTTCATATATTTATAAGTATTTCAAGTATTTTGCACAAAAAGTTTAAAAATGTTTATACTTTCAAACACAGGCAAGAAATAAGTATTGAAATAAGTATTTAAATTTCTACAGTTATTCTTCGAGAAATCCACATACAGTTGGCGCGCGAGCTTACCCGCAAGTTGCGTGGACCAAGCTCGTCGCAATGGTGGGATACATCTTTATTTACATAATTCCTGTTGTGTCGCAGCGCTTTATTTAGCGGTCGCTGTAGAACTCATCGGCGTCACGAATACATCTCCGATTCTCGAAATCGAACGGTGCGTCCGCAGCTCTCGATGGATATAAAAATCGCTGCGATGGCGCGGAGGCAAATTTGTGATGATCTCCGCTCGCTGTCGGAATAGTTAGTGGTTCCAATTAGTAACAAACGAACGTACGTGACTTTATACGATTGTAAGTTCATCTCGCGAAAAGCTTACCATTTTGTCAAAACGACGTAAATGTCAGTACAAGATGATTGTCTTTGACAATTATTTAAAATAAATATTAACTCTACAAAATTGATTAAAATTTCATAAAACAAACCGCTTACTATTTTCCTCCTGATAATTAAATTTCTATTTTAAAAACAAGCAGAATGCTTTCTCTCTTATATGTATATATTTGTATATACATATATTGACATTAATTTTGATAAATATAAATTATTTCAAAAAAAAGTTAAATTATAAAGGGTTGAATTTATTAATTTTATAAATATTATATTGATCAGTATTTGTTTCTAAGTTATCTATTACACTATTTAAGAAAATTGTTCAAAATATGAATATTCGTACAACATAAAAAATGATAGCAACGTAATAAAAGCGGAAACCGCAAACCACTGACGTCTAATTCGATCGAGTCGAGGCAAGCCATGATAAAACGATGCACGAGTTTGGATAAAATAAATTTACGAATATACATATATGTATATCTCGAATTTACAACTGTAAATTCCCGATGGTATATAATTGACAAATCGCGCGAGTGGCTGCCCATGTACGAAACTCGACGATGAAGATATTTCTCGTGTATTTCCTGAGGACTGGCGAGCGATCAGGATCTCAACCCGACACAATCGTCGCGGTTGACGCGATGCTTCAGCCGGTTTGTTTGCGAGCGTCAGCAACCTGGGTCAAAATTCGTTCGCCACTTCCTCCAGCGACGCGTTCATCAGCAGCCAAGCAAACGGTAATTTCGGCGGAATCGCAGGTGCAGTCGCAAGTGGCTGCACAGACGATCGGACATGGAGACTCTTCGGCGAGCGCCAACGCGGTCGCGATTTTAACGGGTCTCCTGCAGGAAAATGACGGAACTTACGTGAACGTAGATGCGTTGGCAAACATCTTAGATACCCTGTCGAAGACGCAGACTTCGGTGGAGTCAAGCGTGAATAGCTCCGTCAGGCGGAAATTCTACGTGAGGAATTACTCGTCTTCCTTGTCGTCGTCGTCGTCTTCGTCCTCGTCGTTCAGCAGCAGCAGTTTATCGTCGAAATCGGGAGCTTCAACGGAATCCAATACCGAATTGAAGATTATCGCCAAGACAGAAGCCAAGGCCGCTTCAAAGGCAGTAGTAGCCGCTCAAGCGGTGGCGCAAGTTCAGGCGAAGGCGACCGCCCGCGCCGAAGCGGAAGCCAACGGCGGTGATTGCAGCGGAGGCGCGAGCGAAATCAAAAGCGAAGGCGGAGGCTGAGACACGAACGGAAACGGAAGCGTAGCGTCAGCGTGTACCGAGGCCAAGGCCAAGGCCGAAGCAGTGGCGAAGGACGAGGCCAAGGCTAAAGCTGAAACAAAAAAGACGAGCTTAACGCGAAAGCGGAAGCCAAGGCGCGTGTCGAGGCGGAAGCGCAAGCTGCAGCATCCGCGCGCGCTGTAGCGGAAGCACGAGTTCAAAAAAAATTTTTTTTATTGGAAAAATTTTACACTTTTATAATCGCGAAGACGGGTACTTCTCGAAATTTACTATTTGAAATTTAGTACAGACAAAGGACTTTTTTTCGATGATATAACGTTTGATTTTCACGGAAGAAACTATGATGGGCAGCGATACGATTGTCGCACATACGGAACTTTCCATGATCAAGGCTGTCGCAAGTCAGTGTTATTAGCTTGTGTTTACGGGCCACCTTTTCTTATGATGATCAACAGCGGTTATCAAGGTTTGCGATGGCTCTTTGACGATTCTTAAAAACTGTTTCAAGAATATTCCATAAAATAATAATAAATAATAATAAATTTGCCAAAATTTATTATTATACGTAATGAAATTTTGCACGAGATTATGCATCAAGTGCAATAATGATTTAATCTGGTGCTCTTTTCGATATCGATTTTTTATATCAAAATTAATATTCTGTTATAATCGAAATTGTAATTTTTTATTTCAAAATACAAAGATTAATGCATAAATAGTATATAATATTTATATAACAAAATCGTGCAATTTTCTATAAAGGGAGATTTTTCCGGAAAACAAGCACAATAAAAATTTTCATAATATGCTATTTAAAAATGCAAGTGTAATTAAGTAAAACTCAGTATTCTTCATTTTTATCAATTTTTTATTATAAAATAATATCGACATGTTTAGAGGGATTCGTAATTATACAAAAAGTTTATAATATTAAATCTTGATTGCAAATATTATTTCTTCATAGCAAAAAAAAAATTATAAAACTATTATATACTATGTATGTAAATCTCAAATGCAACTTGTCAAAAATATCAGACAAATGCACTGTCTTCGTCTCCTTCTTTCATTCTATTGTATGTGTGATAATATCGTTATATATAAATTAACATTTACATTAATATATTGCACACGAACGTGATTGCGGAAAAAATAGAATAACATACTAGATGGAGACAAATACTTTCGTTATTTTTCTTCGAAATGATTTATTCCATATTTGGTTCAAAACATATTTAAGTTAGGCAATGTATTGCAAATTAAAAAATAAAATTTGAACTTTCAGAACAAAATACATTAAAATTGAGATTATATAAATAATATAATTTAAATTTTTATTTCGTAAATTTATTCACTGAAGCATAGTCTTATGTACTTATAATACCACTACAATACATGAAACTGTTTCATGAAAAAGTAATACAATTTAATGCATTTTTGTTATGCTTGCGTCACTTGTAAGTGTAATATAAAAATGAAAATATAACATCGTAGATTAATATTGATAAGTTATTATAAGCTGTAAAGTTTATTGTAATTTCTTTCTAGGTTGTTTTTAATTTATATCTATTTATTTTAATTTTTTTTAAAATTATTATTTATAATTAAAAAAAAGTTTTCTTTGATTTGTATCTTTACATTTTATTAGAATCATTAAATAACGAGAAAGAAGAGAACATATCAATAGAATATGTATCAATAAGTTGATAATGTTTTAGAAACATAGCTTTAACGAAATATTTAATAATTATTAAAAAATAAAATTGCAAGCTAAAAATATATAAATATATTACATAACATTTTGAGACAATATATTAAAAAATTTAAAAATAAATGCGCAATTTTATATTGCTGTAAGCAATGTAGCAATTGTATTATCAGTAAGCTCGGCAAATTGCGCGTATTTTTATTATTTGATGATATCGCTATTACTTTATATATAAGTAATAAAATATATAATATTTTTGAAAAATTATTTAATTATATGTATAATATTTTTCAAAAAATTATTTATTTAAGATATATCTTATAACACGTCTTACACGACATTGTTATTACCATATAAGCTGACAAATGAGATGCTACCGTATCACTTGTTATTTATTGGACAGGTTAATTGGCGTATCAATATTTACATTCAAACGGGAAACTATACGTATTTCTTCGTCCTCCTGTACCGTACTCAGTTCTCTGCGTCCTGTAAGAAGAAACGGACACAATGTCAGAAATTAGAGTGACAAAAGAAAACGTGTGGCAATTTCGAAAAAGTGTCGGATTACCAAGCAAAATGCAGGTTTTGCAGTGAAAAAGGTATTTACGTCATTACAAAGTGCTTGTCACATATAGATGAAAAGCATCCTTATATAGTAGAATACGAAGAATATAAAGGACGACAAGAATGGCCATGGATATGTTTCAAGTACGACGACCTTACTTCCACCTCACAATGTCTTTTCTGTTGTCAGAATTTTCAATCTGATTTTCAATTTTTAGCATCTCATTTAAGACAGAATCATTTTAACGAAGTGGAGAGTTACGTACTTTACGATTGGACATGGAAATATTGTAAGAGAATTAGTGATTTTAAAATAGAATGTACGGAGTGTAAGAGCAAATCAGATATTGTTCTCCGAAGCTTAGCACATTATCATATAATAAGTCGTCATTTGAATGAATTAAACAGTGCTAAAGAAATCCAGAACATACGTCTTTCGTCAGAATCCGTCATGAAGTCAAAAGCTATGAAAGTTCAAGAAAACATGTGGAAATATTATACTAAACTGTCGCCTTTTCGAGCAAAATGCAAATCGCAAGACTGCACCTATGAATGTAAATATGTGAATGAAGATGATGATAGTTTCTTGCACATATATAGAGATCATTTTGCCATATGTAAATGGGAAAAGGCACATCAAAATCAAGAACCATGGATATATTTTAAGTATTTGTATGCATATACATCCGATGAAAACATACCATACACAGAATGTCTCATGTGTGGTCAATCTCCGATTGCGCCTGAATGTATAGAGTCACATTCGTCACAACATTCTCCGGAGGAACAGAGCAGTATACGTAATACTATAAATGACCATTGGATAATGAAATATTTTATACAAACTGATGACACTACAGAGTTCAAGTGTACTATTTGTTGCTTAAAGATAACCATTGATATGCTTTCTGAAGTGTCTGATCATATAATTAAAAGTCATCCGGAAAAATTGCACTAGAAGATCGGAACAAAAAATATGAAAAAACTGCGCCAAAATTATGAATTACAGGATTTTCAAGCAAAGTGCAATTTTGCTACAATCGTTCTTGTTACGTAATATAACAA